AGTGTGTTCTGATTTCCCCTTTGTAACTAGGCGACACTGACAAAATGCAGCATATGGATTTTTCCTCTACTTACTGAAGATTAGTACTACTTTCTTATTACATAGAAAATATCCATGTGTGAAACTGACAGTACAATAGGCTGTGACCTAAATCCCTCCTACAAATGCCTAAGACTGTAAAGTTAGCACTTCAGAAGAAAAGAATACAAGGCGGCATAGAAACTGCTGCCCCTTTTTTTGAGTTGCATAAGTCAGAGGAATTCAGCAAAGGATCAGAAGAGGTCCAGAATATCTCTGTTCCCGTACAGATATTCATCTGACTCGTTAGGGCCATGCCAGTGCAAATCAGTACCAAGCAGGAAGAGATCACTCGTGTGTCTTAAAGAGCTGGAGGAACCGGAGTCATGGTCAGAAAACTCATTGATATGAGGATCAGCAGTGTGAAGGGCAATAGGAAACCAGTGGAGGATGCATGCTTCAACATGCTGACTTTCACTTATTCAGGAGAAAAGTATTCTTAATGCAAAATTCGAATTGCCAGGCCCACTAGTTGCTTCAGAACACCTAGTCCAATAGACAACTGTGGGATGTGATTTGTGTATATAGTAAGACTCAGTATTTTATCAATATTAGTGACACTTGCATCGTGCAACAGACCTACAACGTTTAGTATAATGGGACACTCAACCTGTTTGTTTCCCTTAGGCACCACACAGACACAAATAACTCCATTTGGAAACAATATTTCCTTACTGTATTGCATTTTTAGCATTCTCCCCCAGATTTTCATGTGCTGGACTTCTACAGATGTCCTTACTAGAGCTGGCTGGACAACTGACACACACACCACGCACAATACTTTTATGAAATTTCCCTCTTGGGAAATCCTGTGTTTGCCACAGGAAACTCAAAACCTGTGGGTAAGGGTTTCCTTAATACACACTTTCTTGATGTTTCTCAATTTCCTCCCCCCATCTGGGAAACAGCAAGAATTGTGGGGAAGTTGTGGGATGGGAGTAGATGTTTAAAAGTGACACTACTACCGTTAACACTTAGAAGTGAAATTGTGACTTTCTCTTACTGTCAGAGATAACATTTTGTTACTGTTTTCCAACAGATACAAATTAATTAAAGGTCAGAATACTAGGAGTAGAGAATGAGAGAGGGGAGGAATCCAGAATTTCAAAATATAAAATTCACTTTCTTTTTTCTTCTCAAGATTTTTTTAAATTCAAAATCAAAACATTTTTTTCAATTTTAAAAATGTTTCACTGAAATCCTTATCAACAAAAAACAGTCTTTGTGAGGAAATGTACGGACCATCTCAAGTTGCCACTTGCCCATGACCTATGTGTACAGATGTTTTATGCAGATGTGGCTTCCTTTGGTTGCCTTCATATGTCTGTTGACAGGAATGCAGCACTCAGGATGTTCTGAGATACACAGTGGATTTATTTAGTTTTTTTCTGGAGTGAATTACAGCAGATTTTTCTACCTCTCCACTGTGTAGCAGAGAGAAACCTGTGACTTTGGCAACCCTTATTCCTAAAAGCAACCCTTTTTCATAGGATAAATTCTATTGACTTCAGTGGGACTACTCACATGAGTAAGCAGTGAGTAAAGACTGTGTTAGTTTAGTTTCTAGCTATCACTGAAAGACCCAACGAGTCAGGCATGTTTCATTTACACAAGAGCTATCCACTGACATTGGTCCATACGCGTTAAAGTCTAGCAATAAATATGCTCAACGTGTAATTTAACTCATCTTTTAAAAGTCTTCCTAGTGTTGACTGACAGCTCTTAATGCGTTCATTTTAAAAAAAATGGTGAATGGTTGAGGAGCAAATGTCTAAGTCCACCTTTTCCTTTTGCAGTTATTGTTTTAATCTGCAGCTTTTCGGATGTCACGTCTATTATGCTGGAGGCCAGACATCTAGGGCTGGTGAATGGGAAATTTGTGTTCTTCGTTTTGCAGCAGTTTGAGGTGAGAGGCAACTAAGTGAGTATTGCCAAAATTGGTTTAATATTAGCACTCTTTTTTTTTTTTTAGTCTTGAAATGGTCACCAACAGAGACTTGACACTAAAAGTGTTGTATTAAGAAAGCTATGTCAACTAACATACTAAAGTTGGTCCTGACTCTGCACCACCATGTGGGTTAGGAGATTGCAGTATAGGCCCAAACTGCGCTTTGAACTAAGAACACTGTATTTTAAGCTACTGTACTCTCGACTTCTCTTTCTCTTTCAGGACAATTTTTTGAAAGGCACTCTCAGGAACGAGAAGAACAGCAGTGTGCTAGAAGCCTACAAGTCAGTGTTTCTGATCGGCCTCAGCCCTTATGGCGGATACTCTATGTATTCAGACTTTGTGAAGCAGGTCCATGAAAAACTAAAGGGACGGCCCTTTTACAGCTCACTTTCTTCAGAACAGGAGGTTTGATATGGTCCTCTCTACTTGCCAGACATGCTGAAACTCATACCAACGGCCACTAAAACCAAGTATTCAATTCATTCCAAGGGTCATCTCCCTCTTGTGCAGCTCACAGGTGTAGTTCTGTGGGTTCCACCAGGGTACTTACTTGAGTAATGTGGCCTGAGATCGGAAACATACATGCCTCTCCCAATTTATTTATTTTTTTTCCTCAGTGGGTGGTGAGGATATTGCCAAGCAGTGACTTGGAACCTTTCTGTGGAGGTTTTCCTTCACTCTCATGCTGCTCTGTCCAGACAATGATTCAGGTTGCTTTTTGATACAGGGGATCAAGTTCAGATCTGTAGTGTGAATGTAGACACAACACCAATGGGAAATTGCACTTGCCTTCTCCAAGGTTCAATTTGGCTTAGAAATTCACTCTTGACTTTGTCCCAAAATATAGAATGAGTCTGATAAGGTTTATATGAAAATGATCCAGCAATTTTTCCAAACAAACTCTACGTCCATTTCCCCAGGGAGAAGGCCCATCTGTCCAAGTTCTTTATCTGTGAAGCTGAAACATTGCTTGTCTATGTTGCCCTTTTCAGGTGAGTGCCTACTCTGCCTACCTACATGATGCAGTCCTGCTCTATGCCCGGTCCATAAGAGAAATGATAAAAGAAGGGAAGGAAATCAGTGATGGACGGGCCCTTGTCAACACCTTGAGAGGCTACAATAAAACCGATTTATATGGTAAGCTGTTGAAGGAGAAATTTGGTCAGTCATGTGACTTTAAGCTTCTTGTGAATTAGCACATTTCTTGTTGTCTGTGAGAGAAGATTTTCTTGACTTGATCTGGGAGGTGTGCAAGGTAAGGTCTTAGCTCAACTTAATCCTTTTTTAAAAACCATTTTAAAATGCTGATGAATTGTAGAAGTGTTGCAAGTCTTTGACGCACTGGATTGTGCTCTGTTATGGAACTCAAGAGAGCTAGAAATATCATCCTACTTTTTGTTTGCTAAAATGGTAGCTTGCTTGTAGCCATTCCTTTTTTTTTTCCTTTTCTTTTTATGCCTTAGCAAAAAACCAGCTTGTAGTGATTCCAGGTGTGTCATTCAAAACAAACAAAATAGAGTTTTAGTACGGGCTAAAGTGTACTTCCAATGTTCCCCTTTTGCCCAAGTGGTAAGAAAGAATTATTGTGCTGGGGGTTAGAAACACTTCCTACCTAGACAGTAAAGCAGCAGTTTAGGTGGGCACTAAAAACCCAGAGCTGCATTAATGGTTTTTGTCTCTATAAACTGCGGCTGTGTCTAGACTGGCCAGTTTTTTCGGAAAATCAGCCGTTTTTCCAGGAAAACTTGCCAGCTGTCTACACTGGCCGCTTGAATTTCCGCAAAAGCACTGACTTCCTACTGTAAGAAATCAGTGCTTTTTGCGGAAATACTATGCTGCTCCTGTTTGGGCAAAAGTCCCTTTTGCGCAAAAGGGCCAGTGTAGACAGCTCAGATTTGTTTTGCGCAAAAAAGGTCCGATCGCAAAAATGGCGATTGGGGCTTTTTTGCGCAAAAGCGCGTCTAGATTGACCACGGACGCTTTTCCGCAAAAAGTGCTTTTGCGGAAAAGTGTCCATGCCAATTTAGATGCTCTGTTTCGCAAATGCTTTTAACGGAAAACTTTTCCGTTAAAGGCATTTGCGGAAAATCATGCTAGTCTAGATGTAGCCTGCCTGTTTCCAAAATTGCTTTGAAATGTTTAGCTTTGAAAAATATTGACCAGCATTATAGTTAGCAGGGTGTCATCTTCTATGGAAAACGAATCCCTGAAGCTTACTTACTTCTGGGCGTCCCTGGAGCACCCAAGGTGTCCTGCCACAACAAGGCATGGGTGCCAGAGGACAGGAGTCGAACACTTGATAGACTGTTATTGGAGGTCCTCTTTGAAATGCTGCATAACTAGAAAAATGTTGGCTGGGAAAATGTTGGATTATTTGGAGGTTCATCTGATACCTCTTCAGCTCCAGTTCACTCTTGTTGCGAATCAGGTTCCTGGTTCCCCTCCTGTTCCTCTGAGGTGGGCAGCTCTGCCAGTCCCACCACAGCCCCCGGCTTCTCTTCAGAGTCTCTCTCAGGCCTCCTCCTGAAGGTACAGCTCCTTCCCTCTTGGTTAAGAAGTTGCACAGCTCTCCTGCGTGGGGCAGTGCTGCAATTCAAGCAGGCTTCCCTGGCCCAGCAGTTCCCAGGCTCTTGTCTTCATACACTTTCCCCTATGGTTCCAGAGCCCCACAGCCCTCTTTCTTTGGGCTGCACTATAGCTCAGACAGGCTCACCCAGAAGGCTCCTTATGTGTTTTTAGCTAGCCATGTGCTCTCCACTGGGATGGGTCAGCCTATATACACTTGGCCTTGTTGTTTAATAATGGGAGCAGCCCAGTCCCCAAACCCCTTTCAAGCGTTCCCCTGTGAGAGCCAGCTCCTGACAGTGCTTACCCACTGGACTACCAGTTCTGCTGTTCCAAGGGAATTGTGTGTACACCAGGTTTAAAGGTGTAACTCAGGATCAGCACCTTGCTTAACAACTAAGCACAGAGATATTTGCAGCGAAGCCAAGAATATGTTTATTATCAAAGGTTCACATCAAGGTGAGTGAAAGTTATGGAAAGATCCAGCAAAATAATAACACTTTCTAGAGATTAAACTTAACTCACAAGTTACTCTCTTGTCTAAAGCCTCTCTCTCCCAAAGTTCTCTCCAGTGCTTTTCAGCCAAACCTGTCAGAAATCCCCTTTTTTAAATGAAGCGAAGGCACTGTCTTTCCACTTCCCTACCAGGATACCAAGACCTCTTCTTTGACTTCTAGAAATACCCCCCAAAGTTCATTGTCTTTTTCTCTTGGATGGGATAACTGTGGCTTGGTTTTTTTCTTTCCCTTTGTGCTCTTTTCCTTCACAGCTCTTTGTTAATGTTGGACTATGGATGTGATCAATGAGCATCCATCGTGTTAGCTTAGAGTGCCTGCTTCATTTATATCCTGATAGAAATACACCTTTTTTTTAAATCTCTTGTCTGAAGGTTAACATAATTTTCACCCTTGATGGTGAGTAATTCTGTAATTCAGACATAACATATATTTGAAGCATCTGTGCGCATAATTTCTCACACACACCTGTATTTCCCAATGACATTGCTGACCAGTGTAAGGCTGGCTTTCATTTGAAACCTCGCCTGATGCTCTTTGGTGGACTAGAATGTACATAACTAGTCCCATGAGATGCCTCTACACCCCCTTACTAGTGGGTATTAAGAGGTCCTTGAATCACACCATCTCCTCCTTCAATTATCTCACAGTGTCTCCTTGGAGAGGAGGTGTACACAGCCCATTCTGCATCTGGCAGGGCTGTTCCATATACTGGATGGAGGGTATTTGCCTGCTGGTCATTACAGCTGCTTTGTGGCCCCTTTGTATAAGCCAGTGTTTCCCAAATGGTGTTCTGTGGAACCTTGGGGTTCCACAAAGTGAAAATAAGGGTTCCGTGAAAAAATTCCATTACAATAACATTTTATGATGTAAAAAAAATTATGATGCGATTATTTGTTTTTAAATATGTGCCGTCAAACTAAATGTTGATCTCACGAGCTTTTTTAGTGTTTGTTTATTATTATCCTTACTTATTTGTGTTCTACTTTTTCAGCTCCATATATTAGACTGTTATTAGGGGTTCCGCAAAATTCTTTTGCGTTTAAAAGGGTTCCGTGGCTAAATAAAATTGGGAAACACTGGTGTAAGCAGTACCAGCATAAAGGGGTTGCAGAACAACTGTGAACAGAATCATATAATCCAGCAAGAATCCCTCTATACTAAACAACCTGCATAAAATTATGACCCCTTGAATTCAATGACAAAAATCCCATAGACTCCAGAGCGTTAAGGATTTCATCCACTATGTTACAGTCAGCTCTTGCTCTCATGGCTAGAAACATTTCAGCTGCCATCATGATACCTAAGCATCTCAAGAAAGGAAAAGGACTCAGTTCTGATTTGTTTCTAGGGAGTGAAGAGTAAAGTGCTAAAGAAGTAACATGGAATTAACTCTGAACTAAAAAAGCCCAGCTGTGTTGAGATGAGGGAGACATTTTTGTTCCTACCTGCTATGCAATGAATGTTTTTATATTTGTGTAGGGGTTACTGGCCTGGTGTATATTGATGAAGCAGGTCAGAGGTGGATGGATTACTCTGTATATGATCTGCAGAAAGCTGGCAACTCATCACAGTTTGTTCCTATTCTCAATTATGATGTTGTGAGAAGAACAATCAGGTACTGTAGGTAAAATTTTTAAATGAAAATGCAATATTGAAAGTAGCGTATGTGTGATAAGTCACCCTGTTCAGAGAGCTTGCAGAAGGTCCTGAAGTTGTATTTTAGTCCTCAACATTGGGCTTGTGCTACGTAGGCCTCGTTAGAACCTCTCTGCACAAGGGATGAATTCCATGGTTGTGAACATGTCTGCTCAGTGGCTGATCCCACACATTTTCTGAGGGCACTGCCTTACAGCGTTAATTCTTCCTGGAACTGCTGCAGATGTACCTTTGTAGAGCTTAGTTATAACAAATGAGAGAGCCTTATGTAAGTAGCATCTGTTTTATATTTTCGTCTTATTGTGTATGACCTCGTCTTATTGTGTACGCCTTGATATTGAACTCATACGAAAGTGGCCTCTTTTCTTCAGAACTGGCTGTGCACTGATGTTACATGCATACACATATAGCATGTTATCTCAGTAAGGGAAGCATGCATCTATGTTTCCATTTGCTTTTTCTATTAGGGCAAACTTTGTCAATATGAAAATGTCTAACACAAGCAGACAGTATCACCGGAGAGCAGTCAGTTTTCTGAGAAATAATCTGTTGTCAGTCTGTCCATTGGCAGGCCCAGGATTGCAACATGTTGATAATTAGCAGGGATTTTTTTTAAAGGAGAATTGTTTACAGGAAGGTTAGACAAACATCTGTCAGGGTGCTCTCGAGTACATTGAACTCATTCCAGGGAGTCGGAGCAGAAGATCCTTCCAGCTCTATGTTTGTATAATTCTATATTGAACAATGTGTTCATTTTATTTCCAAAATCCCTGCAGGGAATCTCACATTTTTGATAAAAATATAATTTTTTTTTCTCTTACAAATGTATGGCATTAGAAGTGATGCCAATTCTGTGTTCCCTGTTGGAAAATAACTTTAGTGCCGGAGGACAATCAAAATGGACACTTACATTTATCTTTCTCCATCTATAGCCCAACCAGGGAAATCGCCTACATCGACTGGCAGGCTGGCTTTCCTCCTAAAGACGGACCATACTGTGGGTTTCATAATGAACAGTGTGAAACTTCAGCTTTAAGTGAGTACGGTCAGACTTAATGAGATCAGCATTCTTGGCATGTGGGAAGGGGAAAGAGACAAATTCGTTGCTATTCTTTAGCATTTTTCATTCAAAGGACAGAGAAGCTTTTTACATAAGAACAGCCATACTGGGTCAGACCAAATGTCCATCTAGCCCAGTATTCTGTCTGCCAAGAGTGGCCAATACCAGATGCCCCAGAGGGAGGGAACACAACAGGTAATCCTCACGTGATCCCTCCCCTGTCACTCATTTCCAGACAAACAGAGACTAGTGACACCATTCATACTAATTCCTGGCTAATAGTCATTGATGGACCTAACTTCCACGAATCTCTCTAGCTCTTTTTTAACCCTGTTAAAGTCTTAGTCTTCACCACATCCTCTCGCAAGGAGTTCCACAGGTTGACTGTGTGCCGAGTGAAGAAAAACTTCCTTTTGTTTGTTTTAAACCTGAAGCCTATTAATTTCATTTAGTGACCCCTAGTTCTTTTATTGTGGGAATAAATAAATAACTTTTTCTTATTCACTTTTCCCACACCAGTCATGATTTTATTGACCTCTAGCATAGAGGTCTCCTCTTTTCTAAGCTGAAAAGTCCAAGACTTTTTAATCTTTCTTCATATGGTACCCATTCCAAACCCTTAATCATTGTTGTTGTCCTTTTCTGAACCTTTTCCAATGCTAATATATCTTTTGAGATGAGGCAACCACATATGTACGCAGTATTCAAGATGTGGGCGTACCATGGTTTTATATTTACAAACATTAATTAATGAAATCTCGCAGTACTGCAGAAAAGGAGAAATTTGAGAGTGTGCCTGCAGTATGCCATCTTCATTTTATAGGGAAATGGAGGCAGAATGAGGCAGAGACTTAGGGATAAGATTTTCAAAACCGGATACTTTAATTTACGCACCTAAATCCATATGGACTTAAATAAGCGGAGCTACTGGGTGCACAGCACTTTTGAAAATCAGAGGTTGTGTCTAGACTGCATCCCTTTTCTGTAAAAGGGATGCAAATTAGACACATCGCAATTGCAAATGAAGCGGGGATTTAAATCCTCCCCGCATCATTCGCATAAAAATGGCTGCCGCTCTTTTCCGGCTTGAAGCATTACCGGAAAAAAGCGCCAGTCTAGACGCGGATCTTTCAGAAAATAAAGCCTTTTCTGAAAGATCCCTTATTCCCGAAAGGCTTTATTTTCCTAAAGATCCGTGTCTAGACTGGTGCTTTTTTCCGGCAAAGCTTCGAGCCGGAAAAGAGCGGCAGGCATTTTTTTTATGCAAATGATGCGGGGAGGATTTAATCCCCGCTTCATTTGCAATTGCGATGTGTCTAATTTGCATCCCTTTTACGGAAAAGGGATGCAGTCTAGACACAGCCAGACTGTTATGTAGGTGGCATTACTACATCCATATTTAGGCAATTTTGGGAAATGAAGGGCAATCGTTTTGAAAGATATTTGCAAATTTTTGTTTTCCATTTTTGGGATTCCCAAATACTGACACTTGGAGCTGATTTTCAGAAGCAGTGAGCACTGACATCTCCCATTGAAGCTAGTATGAGCAGGAGTAATCAGCATCTCTGAAAGTCAGTAGGAGGGTGGTCATGTAGGAAAGGCTAGGAGATCATTAATCCTCATAATGCTCCACAAGGAGTCAACTAACCTGGTGTCCCAGAAGTTTTATGCTGCCAGAGTGGTGCAAAGTCCTGTTTGGAGCGAAGGACCAGACATATAATGTCAGTATAAAGCAAGAAGACAAGTCACACCTGAAATACCATAATCTCTAGTTTGGTTGTGCCATCAAGATTTTTCCCACCTCTCTGTAACTGGTGATGATGGGAATCATGTGTTTAACAGGTACGCCAGTGACTGTCCTGATGGTCGTTCTGTTGGTAACAGCCTCGGGAGCTGCCAGCTTAGTGGTGTTTTTAAAGATCCAGGGAAAGAAGCTCCAAAAACAAAGAGATGACAGCTGGTGGAAGATCAACCACGATGATATTATTATGCTTAACGATCATAAGGTAGAGCAAGATCTTGAACTACGAAGAATCACCCCTGTGATAAATTATACTCTGCGAGCAGGAATTCAAAAATTGGTCATCATTTTAGTAATAAACCGTGCGTGTGTCCCGAAGTTGTAGGCATCTACTTAGAACAAGTACATACACATGTCCTTAACTTTAAATGCGTAAGTAGCCTAATTTAAATCCATAGGCCTGCTCTCATGCTTGAAGTTAAGCATGTGCTTGAGCACTTCGCAGTAAGAAAGGAGTTAGTGTGTCAAACCATGAAATCTGGAGTGATTGCTTTGCAGTAGTAGATGCTCATTACAGGACTGGATCCTTTTACAGGCAGTCCCCGGGTTACGTACAAGATAGGGACTGTAGGTTTGTTTTTAAGTTGAATCTGTATGTAAGTCGGAACTGGCATCCAGATTCAGCCGCTGCTGAAACTGACCGTCAGTTCCG